TGAAAATATCAGATTTTTAATAATATTTATTTATTAAAACTGAGTGAGAAAAAATAACCGCCGTCTCCGCTTTGTGTTAATGGCCTCGCACATCTATCCGCACCGCAGTGACAGCAGTCGTTCCCGTCGCCGCACGCATCGGACTTCATTTCATTCATTCAGTTGATGCGAATGAAGTCATCAGCGCCGCGCTAGCCGCACCGTCCGCTGCGTGCGTGCCGGCGTTGGTGACGTCATCAGCTGCGGCTTGGCACGGTAATAATATCATACAGTATTCTATCTTCGTACAAACGGTCGGAAAGCGAGCCATACCTACGCCACTCGAGTTCGATGTGCTCTCGGCGGGCACCCAGTCGCGAATGCGCCGCCGCGCCGCAACGACGACCGAACGGTCTGAATTGTTTTTTATGCAGTTAGCCGTGCTTAAACGTGCGTTTTGTATTGTAAATATTTGATTTAATTAAGTAGATACCTACATAATTTAGTATGAAAAAGAACAAACGACGATCAATATCGTACAACAGCACAATTGCTGTTTTTGGTTGCTTGAACTCTTCAATAACACACCCAGAGATATCATTTTATAAATTACCTGAAATATTGGAAAGCTGTCTCACCTTTATGGATTATTTTTTATATACCTATCTACTAGTACGTTATTTGTTTCTAATATTTAGGTATTTCGGTTTTTCCATCGGGCAAAATATCTGGAATAATATATAAATAAGTGGTTAGGCTGAAAAAAGAGACAAACGAGTAATCTACCTACACTCGCGTTAAAAACAAAACTACATAAAATACTGTAGGCTGGCGGCCCTACCGCGTGCCAACGCAGAGCTCGGTGTAGGCATTTATTTTCAAGGACAGGGCGGAGTCACAATACTGTATAGATAATATTACCGTGGGCTTGGGGAGTTCGGTCGTTTCAGGGACTGCGGCGACTGCGACGCGGGTGGGTTTGAGAGGTTGCATAGAACTTCATATAGAGAATTCGAATGCGAAGACTGCGGCGCGTGCGGTGCGGCCAAGTCTGCGTTCACCTTGATTTGAACAAACAAATCTGCATAAAAGCTACATGTTGACTATTCAACGGTGCACGCGTCACTGTGAGTGAACCAAGTGCTTGAGTGGTGTTCAAGCACTTATTGATTGGGATACATTTTGTGCGCACGTGGTGTATAAGGGTATTTAATATTATTTGTACTTCACTTCGCAAAACTAAACAACATTGGTTTAAGTACAAGAACTATCGCGGTAGTGGCACTCTTATTTTACTCTTTGATTTATTGTCAAGAATGAAACAGAAAGAACATAAATAAAAACCAATCTTGCACCGTTCCTTTTTTAGGGTTCCGTAGTCCTGACCCCTTATAGTTACGTCATGTCCGTCCGTCTGACCGTCCCCGGTTTTGCTTGGAGACTTTTAGCACTAGAGAGCTGTAATTTGTGGAGTTATGTAAATTAATCACGCCGACAAAATGGCAGAATAAAATTATGAAAAATATTTTTTAGGGTAGCTCCCCCACATGTAACCTAGGGATGTTTTTTTTCATCGTTTACCCCATCGAGTGGGGTACGTTGCATAAGTCCTTTAAAATAACTTAGCGGTTCCTAAGTAACACCGGCACACAAAAAATATATATTGTCTGTACACCGGGCGCCACCTATGTTTGTCGACCCGCTGAATACGAATTTCAAGTTTCAGTTTAGACTGTCCAGCCTTCAATTTCGAGTAAATTGCAAAAAAACCCCAAAAATATTGAATTCCATGTTTTGGCAAGAAAAAACATTTTGATTAATTTTCATGTATTTTGATCTGTTAAATACTATTTTCGATCGTACTTTAATCATAAACCATTTTAATCTAAAGTAAATGTAATAAGTCATCAAAAAATGCAAAAATCGAAGAAAATTCTGTTTATACGTCATTTTCATAGATTTTATAATTTTTTTGCATTTTCAGATTTTAATCTTGTCTTTTGTTAATAAAAAATACAAGAGATTTATTTAAATTGCGATTAAAAGATTTTGGAAGTTATACTTCTTTAGGCGCGTTATGAAAAAATGATGAGAGTGAAATTTTAAGATGCGCGCGCATCACTGTAACACAAAATTTTAACAGCATGAAGTTGGTCGCTTTAGCGACCAACTTCATGCGTTACTTTTGTGTTTACCGCACATTAAGAAAATCTACCAACAAAATAGAAATAGAATCTCTATTTAGTGGGTGCTAACGACTGCATTGTGAAGGCCTATCAAAAGTATTTATTAATCTGGAACAACGGAACCAAAGCGCGATTCAGGAGACTACAGCGCCATCTCTTGACCATTGGTGTAGTAGAACCAAAAACCACATCTTTATTTTTTGTAATAAAGTAACAGTTATAGGTATTCATATTTATAATATTTATCCACATGTTTCTAGTTTGTATATTCGGAATACGTGTTTGAGTTTCATACAAGTGCAAATCACATTATGTTCTAATAAATTATATTCAGTAGCGATTTTAATTGAATATTTTGATTATTTATATATTTTTTCAAATTAAAACTGAACTTTATTGACTGTGTCCTTTTCCAGACTTTTTATTAATTTATTGTAATTAATTATTTGCATGCAATTAAAAACTAATTTTCAACGATGCCAAAGAAGGATAACTTCTCACGCGCCTACATAAGTACACGCACCCATTTTTTTTTCCATTTTTACAGCAGCAATTTTCTGCTATTTTATCTTTTTTTGCAATTTTATGAATGTTTGAAGGGACTATGGGCTATCAGATCTAGCAGATTAAATTACATGAAAATCTTCGTCAATCCGGGTCCACAATTTTTTGTATACCAAGATAATCCCAATTTTCTTCGATTTTCGCAACTGTAATTGGAAAACTACCTGAAACATTAAATTTCCCCTCAAAATCAAAGGATTTAATCCAAGCCCCTCCTTAATAATGCTGCAGAAAACTGGCATTTGTTCGCATTTGGCCATTTCAGCCATCCTTATCCCCCTCCGCGTGGCGTGGAGCCTTGAGTGTCGATTCTTCTAAGTTTAAATTGTTTCAGTAGTTTTGATTACATTGAAACAGTAATCTTAATATATATAAATCTCGTGTCACAATGTTTGTCCTGAATGGACTCCTAAACCACTTAACCGATTATAATAAAATTCGCACACCATGTGCAGTTCGATCCAACTTGAGAGATAGGATAGTTTAAATCTCAAATTATAGTCGCAATTTTAATTTATTGCCAATTATTACTTTTGGGCGGTACGAAGTTCGTCAAGTCAGCTAGTTGATACTAAAATAAATATAAAATCACAAATATCTTTTTAGGTTTTCACGCACACCGCTCATTAATAAAACAAAGTTTTTTGCAATAAAAATCTAAATTACTATGCAGCCTGAAAAGGCTGCGAAATGTCAAGATACAAATAAATTAACGCATTTAAACCATTGAAGATTAAATTTTTATTTTTCAGCATCTAACTTCTCGATATTTAAATCTGAAATATTACTAGAAAGAATTCGACACGGGCCGTGTCCACACGGCTATCAGGGCCGTGGTAGCGTAATGGTCAGTGCATTCGCCCGGATATCGAAGGTTGCTGCTGGTTCGAGTCCCGTCTGCTGTATTGAAGCTTTGTTTTATTTAAATCACAAATATATTTGCCTACTCATGTGTTATTGTTATCTCTTATCTATTAGACAAGTCCGTCCGTCTGTCTGTGGTGCTGTTTCAGCGGCCAAACGGTAAGAGACAGATAAAGAGAATATTTAAGTTATAAGTTTAGAATAGTCTGATAAGTCTACAAACCGGATTTGAGTAACGTAGCACTTCCGGTTTTCGAGAAATCAGGTTTTGGTGAACATTTGGTTCACTGGTTTGCTAGTCTCTTATCTATTAGACAAGTCCGTCCGTCTGTCTGTGGTGCTGTTTCAGCGGCCAAACCGTAAGAGATAGATAAAGAGAATATTTAAGTTATAAGTTAAGAATAGTCTGATAAGACTACAAACCGGATTTGAGTAACGTAGCACTTCCGGTTTTCGAGAAATCAGGTTTTGGTGAACATTTGGTTCACTGGTTTGCTAGTCTATACTCATTTGCAAATTTTTGTTTGAGTGACAAGAACTGTGTAAAGAGATACTTTCAGGACCACTTGCAGTAAATTTGCTAAATCGCAATTTAATTAAAACTAGATGTAATCCATAGGAGCTCGATGGCGCAGTGGCCGGTCATTGGATAAGTGACAAAAAATCTTATATCTAGAGTTCCTGCGTGCTTCGGAAGGCACGTTAAGCCGTTGGTCCCGGCTGCGTCTGCAGTCGTTAGCGGCCGCCAATCCGTACTGGGCCCGCGTGGTGGGTGACGGCCCAATCTCCCTATTCCATCCATAGGGAAGGCCTATACCCCAACAGTGGGGACATTAATAGGCTGATGATAATGTAATCCATAGGAAAATGAATTGAATAGGATGAATCTTGTTTTAGTTAAATTGATAGTTAGCAAAATTCCTGTCTTACGAGTGGCCATTAGGCCCACTTTTTATTTCTATTAAATTTTAATTTAGGTCTTAAAGAGAAACAAGGTATCAATATTATAATACACTTTTATTCATTTAATGGAATAAAATAAAAATCTATCTTAAGCCAATGCGGATGAAAGATCTAAAATTTAATGGCCATCTTAAGATCATTGCATCACTTATAATTTTCATTTCAAATAAACTAAAATTTCTTCTCTTATTACCACAATGGTTTTGACTGAAAACCCAAATAAAACACTCGCAAATCATACCAGAATAATAAAGAATTTCTCACAATTAATTTAAGATACTACGAATACAGAAATTGTCAACATGACCAACACTCAGGTACATATGTACACACACAAATTTGCTTGAAACATGACATAATTTTCATACCAACAATCACAGAATAAGGTGTAATATTTCCCTAAACTGTTAAGAATTTTAAACAATCTTTTTATTAATAATTTAACTCCACAAGTGCTATTAATATAAATCTTATTCCCTCACAAATTAGACCTATTTATAATTATTATTTAAATTACCTACAACTATAATCTTATGAAATACTGTTTTTATTTCTGGTATCCATACCATGGCGATTGGTATGGACTTCTGTAGTAATCGTTTGTGTTTGTGTGATCGAACATGGAGACGTCTTGGTAGGGCTGTGGTTCGTAATAACCGGACTGACCTCTCCACGGTCTAGGCTGGTCTTGGAATCCATGCTCTGCGGGCTTCCTTTGTTGATACGTTCTATAATCGAGTGGAGAGTTCAGGAATATATTGTCATTGTACTGACCTACAGGCATAGGCCAATCTTGTGTTTGTTGACTAGGAACGTTATGAGGTGTTTGTGGTGGCTGTACTGGTGGTGGTAGCTGTACCGGTGGAGATGGCTCTACGGGTTCAACAATTACTTTTTTGCTTGCTGCTGGCTTTTTATGACAATAGCGTTTGGGCTCGTTTGTTGCTGGCAATATACTGTTGCCTCTTGACATGAACTTGTGGAATTCGCCTTGGAAAGCGCTGGGGTTTTTGTTGATAGGTGGAACTATGACAGGTACCCTTAAGTTATTGTCCAATAATAGGCTAGAGTGCGGTTTAGACTGTTGCATTGTGTGGACGGGATTCTGTGGTTTGTACATTGCAGTCTTTAGGATTGATGGCGATTGATACGTTGAAATTCCTTTGGAGGTTACTGTTGATGATGAAGTTGGTAGTGGAGAAGAAGACTCTCTCTGTTTTAGTGCATTGTAGGAATTGTTAATGCCGTAGTCTTTTCTTACAATAGGTTCTATGGGAGTGCTGTATGCAAAGTCTGGATGTTTCTTGGGCGAACGAGGTTTACGTGGTTTCTTCTCTTTAATTTCACCTTCTTTCTTTTCCTTGGGAGGTTTCGGTTCTTTTGGAGATTTTGGTGGTTTTGGCTCCTTTGGTACTTTTGGTGGTCTCGGCTCCTTTGGTGGTTTCGGTGCTTTTGGTTGTCTTGGCTCTTTTGGTGGTTTCGGTTCTTTTGGCGGTTTCGGAGGCTTTGGAGGCTTGGGTTCCTTGGGCTCTTTCTTAACCCTCTCCTTCTTAACCCTTTCCTTCTTGGGCTTTTCCGTCTTCTCCGCATCTGATTTCCTTTTCTTAGGCTCTTTCTTGACTTCCTTTTTCTCTAGTTCTGTAATGGATTGGTTCGACTGGTCGACAGATTCAAGTGTAGTTTCAACAGTTTCAGTTGTTGTTTGTAACGGATCTGTCTTATCAGTCTTTTCTAATGGCATCGGGCTCATTTCTGCTTTGTGAGGAGGAGATTCCCAGTTGGACACCAACGCTGCCATATCTTCTAGTTGAAGTTCCGAAAGCTTTTTAGATTTCACTTTCTTAGTCACGCCTTCTTCACCCTCTTTGTTAATTTTTGCTTCTTTAGGTTTACTCTTACCTTCCTTTTTGACACTTTCTCTTTTCTTCCTGACTGTTTTTGTGTTTTTCTTTGACTTTGGCTCTTCATAATCAGAATCCTTATCCGAGTCCATGTATCCAACATCAGGTAATTGAGCCTCTGATGGATCCATCTCATCACCTTTCAGCCATATGTCTTCCAAAACATCCAGTTGTGTGTCATCAGGCTCCGGCATGTTTGGGCGTTTCATTGATGTCATCATATCTAAGTCCCCTTCAGCCATCGTCATTTCATCATCATCCATAACATCATGTCCCAGAATCGAAACAGCAATGGCACCTTCTGAAATACTTTTGCTTGCCATTGCTCTCTTCAAATGTAACGGATGACGCTTTTTCTTTTTGTAATTCTCTTCCTCTGCTTCTATGAATGATTCAGGCAATTCAGTGTTATTCTTATTGCACAATATATCCTGACCTGATGGGTGAGGAGCAGGCACCATCTTCTCTGGTTGCTCTGGGTGACATCCTATATCTTGGCCTTTCAACCACAAATCGTAACGGTCTGGCTGGAATCGTTTCACAAATGTATCCATGGAGATTTTCACCATATCATTGCTGCATGTGCACTGGGTAGCTCGTTTCCCATACTCCACCCATCTGGGTGCAGCAAAGTTTGTTGATTCTGCACAATTAAATCCATGGTTGAAGCCGGCATGGTAACCATATGGAAATGTGATCATAATCTCACCTGCTTCTTGAGTTATTTTATTCACAGGAACAGAGTATTGTTTCAAGATTTGTGGTGATATGAGAGTCATTTTGTGTCTTAAGAAGGCTTGACAAGTTTTAGCTGATGTAGGGAAGAAACCAGAAGCGATTCTCTCAAATCTTTTGCCATGTTCCGGTGGTATCGCATACCAAGTCTTGGGCTCACCAAAATGTAAATAGTTTATGGAATACAGATCCATATCTTCAGTATGCCAAGCAAAAGTAGTCTTCCACATACCGAAATACAAGTAAGCCGTGTTAACACCATCTATTTCTATGCCATAATCAGAATTCACAAAGTCAAGTATAGTTCCCAAATGATTTATGTTCCATTCTTTGACATCGGGATCTGTGATGCTGCCGTTGACATCTGCACCATAAATTGGTGCAACATAAGTGACGTTTTTCCAGTATTTCCTTTCGAGATCTTCGTTACTAGTGTGGCGAGGAGTGCAGTACTTCGCGGAGTTCGCGAGCACAGCAAACTGCTTTACAGTCATAGATTTCTTTTGAATATTGATTTGTTGAAATAAACCTTGCTTGCCAGTGACTACCTGACATATAGGCGACGGTATAGTCACATTCAGCTCCTCCAGATTGTATCCAGACTTGCGGGGAACCCATTCGGGCGGTGGTATTACTTTCGCGAGCCCTGCCTTGTGTGCACCTTTAGACTCCATGTATTGAATGTATTTGTTGAAATCTTTAAACTCATCCCATGTTGGACGAAACACTTGGATCGCTACACCACCCGCCGAGCCTCCAAAATCTTCCACAGGCACAGACATTGTCTCAATCAAGTCTCAATAATCACACGCGATGTCCAAAAATCAACAAAATTTCGTCACACGACAGTCAGTCGATGAGAGTACTTTAAACAACACCGCACTAGCTCAGACGCCATTCACGCAATTTCACTAAACACCGAATACATTTTCTAATATCAACTCCAACTATACGATTTAATATTTTCGTAATAATGAGAAAACATTATCAATAAGAAAATGGCCGACTTGAATGAGATGCGCTCGCTTGCAACAAATCCCTTCTACAAATCGAAGAACACTCGAAGCTTCATACACGAAATTAGGTCACGTACACACGAAAATCGTTGGAGAGAAGTAGACAAATGATTTTTTTGCGCTTATGAAGCTTCAACTAACAAGCAACACCGGCCTAGCCAGCAATTTTTTAATGTTGGCACTAAACATGTTTTGACAGTTGTCAATATAACATCTATTTTTGTTTTGAGGTTACGATAAATAAAAATTGTTTTGTAAACGATTCTCACGCAAGAAACGATGAATTATCTCACCTGAAAAGATTCTTCGAATTCTTCTACTAAATTACCGCTTCCATTTGATGGAGTCGCCATGTTTCTTTTATGATCAATCACAATAATCGTGGTTTTTAATGCTTTGTCCCGTGCGAAAGAGAAGACTAGATCGGTAGCGGCCGGATAATGTTATAAGTAGCACGGTTCGCTAGCATGCGCGTCTGGCTTTGTTCGCAATATTTTTGTAGCGAACAATGAGTTTTGCGTGCCTATTCATTCATTCATTCAATCAATACTCATGGCTACCACCACATCTAAAAATGTGTTCAACTACCTTTCTATTTTAGTAATCAAAAATATGCGGTGTAGTTAGCACATTATATCTGCGACTGAGGAACTTTCACATTTTTCAACTATTGGACGATCATACATTTTTAATTATTTAAATGATGAAACGAGCACAATGGGTTTCGTACCTATTTCTTACGACCGAGCAGAAATAGCTATATTGCTGCTCGACTAATAAATCCGATAAAGTCACGATTCTTATTTTTTCAACTTTCTCTTATCCTTATTTATGGTTGTAGTGGCAATAGAAATGCACATTCTGTGAAAATATTAACTAAAAGAACTGCTAAAGTTCATGATATACAGCAGCCTAAGAGACATCCATGGACGGGCTGTGGAGGCTTAAGTGTATGGATTTCTTTGTCTTTCACCCTTTATGAAACAAGTTTAAAAACACGAACAATACGTAGCGGAAGTAAATGACTGCCTTTAACATTTATAAATGTAATTAAAATTTAAATATCCTACTATAAAAAAAAAGTTTGTCTGTTTGTTACTCTATCACTCAAAAACAACTGCACTGATTTGGATAAATTTGGTACGGATTTAGTCTATGAGACATAGGATACTATTTATCCCGGAAAATGTTTGGTTCCTGTGTGGTTTTCAAAAAAACTAAAGTTAACACGCAGGCGGCTACTAGTATTATATACATGATAAAAATCTCATATCTAGATGTTTGCCCTGGATAAACTGTAAAAATCTTATCCAATCGATAAAAAATAGTTAGAAACAAGACTTTATCGGAGATTTCTGCTCGATAAGGATCGAGAAATATTGACCGCGATTATTAACCATATTAATTCTGTAGATAACGCGAGCAAGGCCGCGGGCCGTAACTAGGGCTGCCATCCGTCCGGGTTTCCTCGGATTTGTCCTTGTTTACGGGGCGTCCGGGGAGCGTCCGGGCGGGGTTTTATTTGTAGTCCGGGTTAAAAAAATTACGGTAATGCCTGAGTAGCCTTTGGTGCTGCAAGTGTCCATGGGCAGCAGTGACCACTTATTATGAGGTAGACTGCTAGCTCTTTTGCTTAGATCAACATAAAAAAGTTGATTTGTAACATTTTTAACTGTTTTTTTTGGTCTGTCCGGGTTCTGGGCAACAAAATCCGGGGTTATCACGCGTCTTATCCTGGTTGCCACATTTTAGAGATGGCAGCCCTAGCCGTAACTAACTTTTTTTATTTGTTACCAAAAAGTCTTACATATATTTTAGAATCGTATAAGGTAGGTAGGTACCAGTTAACAATAATAAAAGGTGGGTATAGAGATTCTTAGTAACAGTACCAAATTGATGCACTGATGATGTAGCCACAAAACAGCCTTGACCTGCGCCGCGATGTGTCAAACAGACCGCGAGTGAAGCACGCGGCACGCACGAGTGAATGAGTCATCAATGTTTACTACCTCCACGTGCTCGTTGACTCGTAGCGTTCCAATTTTTAGGTTGGCAGTTCCGTACAACTGTCTTATACAGCTGATTTAGTATTGGTTTCAAAGGTGCCAAGATTCCAAGCTAATGCCAAGCCGAGACGATGATAACATGACGATGACTTCTCACGTCACACTTTATTATCCATACATCTATACTCATATCAATAATACGTGTCTGCCCGTCTGTTACCTTTGCACGCTTAAACCGCTGAACCAATTTAGATGAAACTTAATAAATAGACAGTTTGAATCCCGAGGAATGAAAATCATCCTTGAAGGGGGTCAAAGGGGGGAAATGTTATATAGGAAATCAATTTATTCACAATTCACCTACTAGTAATATTATAAATGTGAAAGTATGTCTGTCTGTTAGGTATCTATCTCTTCAGCCTTGAACCGCTGTACCTATTAATTTGATGATATGTGGGCTAGAGATTCTCTAATTAAAGTCCCTCGGGAAAGGACATAGGGTAGTTTTATCCCAGCAATCATCTTGATTAATCCGGCAGAACAGTGGGGGGGGGGGGGGAAGTTTCTAAGGGAAACAAATTTTACCCAGCAGAAAAAGTTATAGGCATGCACTAGTTGTTAATATCATTGCTACAAATACAGCAAATACTAACGGCACAATCAATTATAGATACTTAGTAAGTAATTACTCAAACATGCAAAAACTATTGAACGGATTTGAATGAAATTTGGCACATTCATAGTTTCCTGTGGGATTCTCGAAAAAAAAGTTAACCTAGATGAAGCCGCGGAAGGAAGGTAGTCAATAATATAAAAAAGTAGACTTCGTCAGAATGGAATGTATTTAACAATAAAGTATTTTGAAATTCGTTTATTAGGCATTTTCATTAAGTTTAAAAATAGAAATAGAAGAAAACAATGACTAGAGAAGAAAAGGTCAGTTTTTTTTTCATTTACAGTAACGCCAACAAAAACTCAACAATACTAACACTTTTTTTTTGTAATTATTCCGAGTTTTAAAGGCAACAGAAGTTAAGTTCATAAAGCCTTGTCTAATTTTTTTTTGTTTATAATTAATGTGTATTTGGCATGCATTGGTGTCGATTCGAGCATGATTCTCTAAATTTATAACTAAACTTAACATCGACCCCTCCTTTTCATTCTGTAAAGACAATGACAAGGATGCACTGTTGCCGAATTTAAGTTTAGATTTAGAGAATCATGGCAGAATCGACACTATTGTATCCAATGTATTTTCTCGCTTATGATAAAATCTTCTGTGAGAAAACTCCGGTATTTCACTCAGATCAATATAACTACTAAAACCTGATATTCTGATAAAAATCCAGAATTGGAAATTTTTATATTCTGTTTTAGATAATGAGACGTCGATAAAGATGAAAGACTTATTTTATATAACTTGGAACTTAGTTTTAATACTCATATTCTGGATCTTAATAAAAAAAAGCGAGTGTGCTTATTACCACACGACTGGTGACACTTTTCGTAACGCGTAACTCGTAACGCATTCGCCAGTTTACTCCCCAAGTCAAGCGTGCCTAAATTGTTCATTGTTTACTGTCTAGTCACCGGTGAAACTTTTCGTAAAGCGTAACACATTCGCGAGTTTACCCCCCATGACAAGCGTGGCTAAAGAAGTTTCACTTCAAACATCCATACAAATTAAAGAACCGATCAAATCATATTCAATTAAACAGGATTTGGCATTTGGAAAATAATGCTATTTACATAATATTTTCTTTTAAATTAAAAATAAGACTAAGGGTCAGGTAACGCCACAGATCCAAAAGTAACGCAAAATTTTACAAAAGTAATGTTCTGGCAACGCTGCGTCAGAAGGCATCAGTTCCGCGACTTACAGATGTGCACAATACGCATTCGACAATAGAGCCCGTCATGACAAACAAATATAAATCCAGCATATAGCTGAATAGAAAGCCATTTCTTTTGCCTAAACCAGAATAAAAAGAAAACTAAAGTAAAATGGCGTCGGCGGCGCCATAACATAACCTCAATAACGCTTTATTTTCGTAAATAAATTGTGTTAATTCGGGAATAAAAGTGTTTTGTTTAAGTTTATTCAGTGAACTGTGTGTATAATTTAGTAAAACGTCATGGCGGACGCAGCTGCTAGGCAGTTGCAATATGAATACAAAGCCGTAAGTGTTATTCTCATCATTGTATAATTACTTGATAAACTAAAACTGCAAGTATCTCACGACTTCTTTAAATTATTCCAATCATAAGTGAATAACGCTTACTTAACATGTACTTAAATGGACTTATTAGCTAAATTTTAACTTCACTTTTTTGCAGAACTCCAATCTTGTACTTCAAGCCGATGTGAGGCTTATTGAACGCAGAGGTCGCGATGAGGCGACTGGAGAAGTTCTCTCTTTATCTGGAAAACTCACTGGGACCCGTATGGGTGACCGTGCGCAACGCACAAAGCCTGACAAAGCAGAGGAGAGAAAAGCTAAGTAAGTCTTTAAAAATGTTTAAGATCTTAGCTGCATTCGTTATTTGTATCTGATCAATCTTTTTAGTCTCAATCGTTCGTTAGAGTAAATCTGAGCTGCTTGGTAATTCCACTCAGATCAGTGTTTGTAATCTGGTATTCTGGTCATCTGTCATTTTGTAAGGTTAGTTTCTGTTTGTGTACACAAATTAATCTATGGTGGGTCAGGCCGTTTGTTAATAGCAATTTACTCAGATTAATCTGTGATTACATGACCAAAAACCCATAGCTCTTGTATAGGTAAATGTATTTTTCTTTCTCCCTGGTAGCAGGTGCACTGTTTCTTCCTAATGATACACTAAATTAGTACACCTATCCGATACACCCGTACCCCTAGCACGAACCAATATCGAATTCGTACCGTTTGAGAGTCCGAAATGTCATTGTCAAATGTGAACTGATTTTTAGTTCTTGTTACATACTTTATGCCGCTGCTGTTCAAGTTTCCATACAAATGTGACTTTGACATTTCGGTTTACAAACCATTCGAATTCGATAATGGTTTGTGCTAGGGGTACAGATATCAGTCTGGAATCAAACCAATATAGGTACTTTGTTTTAAAAAAAAATAAAAGAAAAATATTTAAAATAGTTTAGAGGAAAGAAAAAAATGTGGAAACATTTATTTGTTTCTATTTCCTATAAAGAATTGGACTATACTGAGTACATTAATGTGAATTATGATAAATACAGACAAGTATGATTTTCATATGAGCTGTACCTCAAGCACAGACTTTGACAGATACCGCAGATTACTGGACTTAAGAACAAAGTGGCTTATTCTAAAGAAACTTTGGTGACGAGATATGATTATGGATTTGCCAAAGTTTGTTCTTGGAGTACTGAAACTATATGAGGAGCTGGCGAACAAAACGGTATAATTACAGATCCGGTCAAACTACATTTATTTTACAGTCTGGAGGTTTCGGGCTCGTTAAATTTGAATCTCAAATAATTTTCTACTAAAACCTCCTAAAACTGTTAAAATTACTAAATTCTTAAGTTAAAAACCATGCCAATAGCTCACTGGAGGTCATGTCATTCAGCTTTATACAGCTGCTGTAAAATTTAATTTTATGTAATTATGCCGTTTTGTTCGCCAGCTCCTCATATGTATGCCATAGTAAATTAGTATCTACTCTACAATGGTATAGAAACTACCATGTTCATTTTACTAACAAATTCATATGTGTTAAATAAAACTTATTATTCATAAATTTTTATTATTGCATAATGTTATGCTATATTTAATATATATTATATTTTCATCTTTCTTGTTCTTTTATGTTTTCAGTTATTTATAATAATTTTTACCATATATAAGTACTAAAATATTAAAATAAATTAAAGGGTTTGACTATCTAAAGTAAAGAATAATTTATGTTATAGATTTTTTAATTTATATGTTAAAGTTTAACATATAAACAGTCATTTAATAGATCAGTTTCGAGTCTCATTTATGTATTTCGTTCTTAACAGACACTAGAATTGCAATTTTCTCATCTCTTTATATTATATTTTTATTTTAAGCATATAACTGTTAGATGTTCAAATGTAATAAAAATTTTACTAGAAAAAAATCCACATATCTAGGGGCCCAAGCACTCCGTAATAATATTGTCATTGTCAAATTTTGTATAGAAACCGCTAGTTTATTCTTACGTCCGGTAGGGGGCGCTGATTAATTTTCGTAGAACTTTGATGATGCGATTTGATGACAGAGCTGTCAAAATTAGTGTTTGGCCCTCTGGTTTTTTCAGATGTGATTTGAAACCGCATCTTCCGCTACTTGTTTCTTTAGATTTCTTATCTCTTATAACATGATCACATCATTAAATATTACGTAATTAAATAAAACTAGTTTTAACGGGTCAATGCACGAAACTTTATTTATTGACGTTTCGCAGCCTTTTCAGGTCTGCTTCGTCAGAAGAATTTTTTATAAATAAAATTTATTAATGAGATTTATTAATAAAAAATCATTCTGACGAAGCAGTCCTGAAATGGCTGCGATTTGTCAATAAATAAATAAAGTTTCGTGCATTAACCCGTTTAAACTAGTTTTATTTAATGAGTGATGTGCATGAAAACCTAAGAAACAAATATATTACATAATTTTCAGACGACAGAAACGCGACGAAGCCTCATATGAGCTGTCCAAATCTAAATCCGCTCGGGTGGCGTGGGCCGATGATCCACCCGGAGTGTTGTACAGACCGCGTGCTCAGCACACGCGGCACGCTTACGAGCTACTATTGTCGTTCATGCAGAGCTCTTTGGGGGACCAACCTAGGGATATATTGTGTGGGGCTTGCGATGAGGTGAGTAGCTTTCCAGGGGGCCAATCGCCTAACGGAAATGCTTTGGGAAACGCTAACGCTTACGATTTTATATTGTTATTTCTAGCCGCCAGAGGTTTTCGAATACCTCACGCTCATTTTTTTTAATATTGTTATTACCAATGCAAAAGAAAAAGAAAGAGCGCGAGGCATTTGAATACCTCAGGCGGCTAGAAATAACAAAATAAAATCGTAAGCGTTAGCGTTTTCCAAAGCATTTCCGTTAGGCGATTGCCCCCCAGTTAAAGTGCTAGATTTAATTTGCACTAGCTTTTGCACGCGACCTCGTGTATATATCTATGACGGGGTGTAGTTAGGTTTTTGAGATTTTCACAGAAACCAGGTAGAAAGAGCATGATGATGGTTGTTGATTGCGAAACGATTGAAACACTGACTTTGTTCAACTGTTATAAGACTCTTTTATTATGCTCTAATCTATGTTGGTAATAATAGTAAACTCAAATTACATGAAAACATTTAAAGCTTTATCAAAATATATACTTTGTGGGACTTCTGATGAGTTCAATAACTTACTAAATAATGTGCTATATTTTATTATGGAATATGGATTTATTCTTACGAGATCAACCTGGAGATTACTCTGCGGGGGCTTGAGATGAAATGAGTTGCTCACCAGATAATATGCTACATTTTATTATACATATTTGGCCAGAGAATTTTAGTCACATTTTGCAATTTTAAGAAACAAAATGAAATTTTTCTTTATTCAAATTGACTTATTAAAATCCTTTTGAGACATCCAATATTTTTTCCTAACACTCATTCAGGATATCTTTTAGCTGATGAGAAGAATGCGCCCAAGAAACATGAGCATTTGATGGAGTTATCGACATCTACATAAAATCATGTCGCTACCAATACAAGGTCCATTCACAAGAGCGCAATATAAATACGAAGTCGCATTCTTCTTTCTTAGGGCCTGCGCTGCATTAAGCGGGAGCACGGAGCGTACGTTCGCATGTTTACTTCATGTTATTTCATAGTGCAGCGCAGCGTGAACGGGGTCTCCCGTCGCGGACTTAACGCAGGCAGACGCTTAACGCAGCGAAGGCCCTTGAACCCTCAGCCAATGTCATCAAATTACATCATTGAGGTGTTAATGTAAGTCTTCCCTTGTCGACAGGTCCTCGTCGTCCTCAAGAACGACAAGTTGAAAGATCCAGACAAGAAGAAAGAGATAGAACTACTGCTTGGACCCATTGCCGATGAGAGATTCGCCGTATTGGTTAACTTAGGTGAGTTTAATTATATTATCATCATCATCATCATCATCATCAGCCTATTAATGTCCCCACTGCTGGGGCACAGACCTTCCCGGTGGATGGAAATAGGGAGATTGGGCCATGACCCACCACGCAGGTGCGGATTGGCGGGTGCTAACGACTGCAGATGCAGCCGGGACCAACGGCTTAACGTGCCTTCCGAAGCACGGAGGAGCTTGAGATAGTAAATTTTTGGTCACCCATCCAATGACCGACCACTGCGAAAGTTGCTTAACTTCAACGATCGCAGCCGAACGCGCTAACCACTTGCGCCATCGAGCTCCTTGATAATTATTAAGTTTATCGCATTTATGGCCGCGACGCACGCGGGAAAAGCTTACGAGCTACTGCTGTTGTTCATGCAGAGCTCTTTGGGGGATCAACCGAGGCATATCTATATATATAAAACTCAAAGGTGACTGACTGACATAGTGATCTATCAATGCACAGCCCGAACCACTGGACGGATCGGGCTGGAATTTGGCATGCAGGTAGATGTTATGACGTAGGCATCCGCTAAGAAAGGATTTTGATCAATTCTACCCCCAAGGGGATAAAATAGGGAATGAAAGTTTGTATGAAACTTTGTCAATTTTAAACTGATCGGGCTGAGACTTTGCATGCAGGTATAAGAAGAATCATAGATGAATGTCATTGTGTATAATACAAGCCTGAGAACTAAAACTGTAGTCTACACTTCAGCTCTACACCAAAGCGAAGCGAGGGCGGGCCGCTAGTATTGTAAAGCTTGATATGAGGTGACTAGCTGTATTTCACTGCAGTCATCTGAAAGACTTGACTTTTTAAAACACATTAAAGCTCACATATTAGTATGAGATATTTACATAATCGAAGTTCTTATAAAGAGAAGTTGTGCAGAGAAACAAAATTTTGACTTCCTTTCCGGTGTAGAAAAATTGGTTCTCCATATAAACCTCTATTTTCAATTTGACGCCCTACAAATTATATTTTAGATACAAAAAGTAGTATATAACCCCATCTGAAGTAGCTTATTTTATTTATTTATTAGACCCACCAGAGAAAGTTACATTAAATCTTATTTTTAAACATTATAGTAGTGATACATACAAAATGCAAAATTCTATTGAAGGTAGCCACATCCTGCTTAAAATACAGTACGAAAAGACAGGATTTTAACAAAAAAAGAAAACAAACTGAAACAAGATATGAATAAATCTAAAGAAAATATAACTAGAAAAAGTTCCACGCCGTCCAGGCAGCAGACGGGACTCGAACCAGCACCCTTCGAAATCCGGGCGAATGCACTGACCAATTATGCTACCGCGGCCCTCACGGACCGCTATTATAGTTATAATTTAATTATTCTTTTAATCAAGCAATTATAGTTATAATTTAATTACAACTATAATTGCTATTTCTTCTTTCAAATGTTTAATACTAGTAAAAGTATTCATTGACATTGTGGGTTACCTATAATGCGAAGAGATGGCGCTGCCTTGTAGCTTATGAATGGCTAGAAGAATTTCGACGCGGTCCGTGAGGGTCGCGGTAGCATAATCGGTCAGTGCATTCTCCCGGATTGCGAAGGGTGCGGGTTCGAGTCCCGTCTGCTGCCTGGTCCGCGTGGATTTTTTTCTAGTTATATTTTCTTTAGATTTAAACATCAAGCAGTTACATGCTTTAAATAATAAAAATTATAAGATATGAATAATGAAATTTATGAACTGTCAGTAGCGCTTTTGAAACTATACACAATAGCAAACGAATATAATTTTTCTTAAAAAATTAACGACAAAATACAATTTGCCTACGCATCTCTTATCTATTAGACAAGTACGTCCGTCCGTCTGTGGTGCTGTTTCAGCGGCCAAACCGTAAGAGATAGATAAAGAGAATATTTAAGTTATAAGTTAAGAATAGGCTGATAAGACTACAAACCGGATTTGAGTAACGTAGCATTTCCGGTTTTCGAAAAAACACGAATTTCAAACGAAACTACACAAAATCTCCGAAGTTCTCAATTAATTAAATACCTACATTTTTTTTATTTTTATTTTATTTATTTTTTTTTGAAATCAGGTTTTGGTGGACATTTGGTTCACTGGTTTGCTAGTTTTTTAATAACTCAGAAACTTTAGTCCTAAATCGTAGGAAAGAGTCATGGAAGATATCATCACTCTTACTCAGTCTATTGTAAACGTCGGGCAAGCGATATGATGCAGTGTGTTAGTATGTTAATGTGAGCGATTGGTTAAGTGAATGTTGTTGTTGAAACTTGTAAATTATAATGCGATTCAAATAAGAATAGGAAAGCCAAAGACCTCCATCTGTCAAATGGCGCTATTATGGTATGGTTTGCAAAAAAATCACGGAACACTTTTTTTTAGTACTCAGCTGATTCTAGAATAAAAACCAAACATTTTTAAACAAACAATAACAAATGTTGATAATTAATATTAGTTGTTTTTTTTTCTTTTATTGAGCTATGGTTGATAACCTAAATCGTCAACCAAATGTCACTTCATGTTGCGTTCAAAAACTCGATTTAAAACTTTCGTTTACATATAGGATGCATGTTCGTATGTGACCTGCATGATTATTCATAACTTCTCCGGCAGTAATGCAGAGATGAGCAAAATTAAAGACCTAGATTCTGATTAATATTTTTTTTTACAGTCTTAATAAAGAAATACTATTGAAAATCGGTTGTGATCTTTCTGAACCTTAGTAAATTAATTTTATTAAAAAATCTGATGTTTTGTCTCACTTAATCTTAGTAAAGTTTTATTAAATAGCAACATTTTTTGCTCACTCTACCTATTTGGTTTGCATTGACAGCTATGACGTCAAAATATGGCGCCCAGTCGGTCCTATTCTTAGTTGAATCGCATTATATCTCTATACCAAAATAAATTGTAAAAAATTCTGCTTCTTTCCGTAATTAGGTAAGAAGATAACGGACTTCAACATCAGCACATCGAACGAAGGCAACACAGAGATCGATGAGACCTATGGCATCAATGTGCAGTTCGAAGAGTCATCGGAGGAGGATGATGAAGATGCATACGGAGAGGTAAGTGTTACTCATCACCAGGGTTCATCATCATCATCATCAGCCTATTAATATCCCCACTACTGGGGCACAGGCCTTCCCTATGGATGGAATAGGGAGATTGGGCCATGACCCGCCACGCGGGCCCAGTGCGTGTTGGCGGGTGCTAACGACTGCAGATGCAGCCGGGACCAACGGCTTAACGTGCCTTCCGAAGCACGAAGGAACTCGAGATAGTAAATTTTTGGTCACCCATCCGATGATCGACCACTGCGAAAGTTGCTTAACTTCAACGATCGCAGCCGAACGCGCTAACCACTTGCGCCATCGAGCTCCTCAGGGTTGCAACATCACCAGGGTTGCCTTGGGATATTCGATATATATCGATGCATCGAAAACATCGATGTTTGCAATGAAAAACATCGAATCGATCCGATGTTTTGAAAAGCTTTCAATATACTCGATGCATCGATGTTTAAAAAAACATCGAATTGGTAATACAGTTTGACCACGTAGTGATAATATCCTCTTTTTGGTTTAACCTCAGTAAAACAAAACTTAAGTTTGACCACTAAAATTTTACTTACTGTTATGAAAGCATTCCGAATTCTCTGATATGGCTCCGATGTTGGCAGCACTGCGCAAGAGTCAGTGCAGTGACAATAAGAAATAACTACGAGTTTCTATGTTTAAAAACATTTAATAACCTTTGGTTATGTGAAACAAACTAAGATTGAAGTATATTTCTAATATTCTATTGAGAGACAGCAAAATTTTTTTAAATTTAAGAAAAAGTAGATGATTGATGTTTGAAATACATCGATGTTTTCATCCGATACATCGATTGACATCGATGTATAGTTGCGATGTATCGAATCAAAAAATACATCGATGTTTTTTCAGAGTGGACACCCCTAGGGTTGCCAGATGCGGTTTTGTGATTTCCCCCAAATTGATTTTTAAATTTCCCCATCATCATCAGCCTATTAATTCCCCCACAGCTGGGGCTCAGGTCTTCCCTATGGATGGAATAGGGTGATTGGGCTATGACACACCACGCGGGCCCTTCGTGGATTGGCAGGTGCTAACGACTGTAGATGCAGCCGGGGCCAACGGCTTAACGTGCCTTCCGAAGCACGGAGGAACTCGAGATAGCAGTTTTTTTGGTCACCCATCCAATGACCGACCACTGCGAAAGTTGCTTAACTTCAACGATCGCAGCCTAACGCGCTAACCACCCGCGTCATCGAGCTCCTCAAATATCTTAAATTTTGTGAGATACTTTAGATTGTTTAAAAAAAAATATATAAGCAGGCGCATTTTATATGTTTGTCTATTACTCCAAGTCCAGTATTGAGAATAAATTACACATTCTCATATAGTTCTCTCTCCCTCTAGGTACGCGAAGAAGATAAAGAAGATGGGGAGGGGTCTGACAACGAAAAGGGCAGAGAATCTAGCGGCGATGAAGGAAGCGATGCTGAGGGCAAGAAGAATGCTATACACGCCAATGTGAGTAAAAACTAATATTCGGAATCAATATTGACACTATTTGGGGCTCGGAAAATATAGAGATTTTTTATAATAGGCTATGAAAAATAAATAACCAATCGTTGGCATCTGTATTTACTATGAATATTAGCAGCGATTTTACTATTCTAAGAGAACAAATAATAAAAAGCTTTTCTTAAAATTCATTCAATAAAAATGATATTTTTGTTCTACAGTAAAACCCGTTTAAGACGATTTCACAGGGACCCAACTAAAAACGCGTCTTAAGCGGGAAAGCGTATTATGCAGGATTGCGGGATATGGAAATTTCGAATTAGTATTTACAATATTTAATAATTATGTATTTTATAAAAATGTAGTTTATTATTACGTTATTTAAAATAAGCCATTATTTTTATTTGTCAAAAAGATTTTGAGGCATTAGCAATTAAAAGATTTTCAACATAATTTAACTTTTGCAGTGCGTCTTCGCTTTGATTCAAAGAAGACAAAATCTTATTTGACTTATCTTCTACTTAATCATTATCACTTAGGGCCTCTTCTTGTGTGTAATTCACATTAATAATATAATAATAATAATGTGTGGTACGTGTTGGCGATTTGGGCGTATTAAACGGGATGACGATCGTATAAAGCGTTAAGAAATGTATGAAAACATGTCTCAAGTTGCAGGGACTGACGCAAAATGGCGTATTATGCCAGAAATCGTATTAAGCGTGATCGTATTAAACGGGTTCTACTGTATTTGGTGACGTGACCGAATACGGCGAATTTTTGGTACTTCTTCACGTCTAAGCGGCTGGAGTGGTTTTAATAAAATTTGGTATGGAGTTAGCTGACATCCTGGGTTGACACATAGGCTATGTTTTTCTGCGGGAAAATATCCCTAATAAACCGCGGGTAACACAGCGGGGCACAACTAGTTTATTATAGTTATTGAAATGAAACTTAAATTGTAATGTTAATTAATACTTTTATATGAATATAAGACAATATCTTTTAATGGAAATAGTAAATGTAATTAAACAAATGTGTTGCTCTGAAAACAAAGATTTCATTTAAGTACAGTAGAATCCGTTTATTATGACGCCGCCTATATTGACCAACCGCCTCATTATCAGCCTATTAATGCCCCCACTGCTGGGTCACAGGCCTTCCCTATGGATGAAATAGGGAGATTGGGCCATGACCCACCACGCGGGCCCAGTGCGGATTGGTGGGTGCTAACGACTGCAGATGCAGGCGGGACCAACGGCTTAACGTGCCTTCCGAAGCACGGAGGAGCTCGAGATAGTAATTTTTGGTCACCCATCCCAACCGCCTATTATGACGTAATTACACAACGAAGTTTGATTTTCATATAAAATTCATTGTAACAATGTCGGATATAATGACTTCGCTTACAATGACATGTCGCTTATTATGACCCATTTTTAATCAATTTTGTCCGTTTATAGTGACCGACATGGTACTGTACACCTACGGTAATGTTCGTTGATTCAAATCGAACATCAAGCATTGTTTTTAGTGATATCCTATGTAATAAAATGTTATCTCAACGTCGTAAAGCATTTACGACTGAGGAAAAAGGTGCAATAATATGCTGATTAGAAAATGGAGAATCAAACTCATCTCACAATCTTTTTTCACAAAAATGCTTTGTATGACGTCCGCTTAGTATGACGTGTTTGTCGATTTATTGTTTTAAACTTTCATGGTCACTAACATTATAGCTATTAACGGGATTGTTACCATGTACCTCGTAGGGGTATCGAGCGCAGTAAAAGACGACGTCAGACGGTAGACCGATATGTCTGCCAATAACATCTACCCGCAATTACTTCAGTTACTCCATGATCATGGCGCTTGCAACAGTGCCGAAATATCGGAGACTCATAAAAAACAAGGTACATGGTAACAATCCCGTTAATAGCTATAGTGTTTGTCGATTCCCTTTGAAGTCATAATAAAAGGATTGTACTGTACGTATGTAGGTTAAAACATTATTCACTACACTTTTTACTATCTATTATAAATCATACTAACTTACCTGAAAACAAAGAAACGACATTTAAAGTCTTTTACTTAATACAACAATTCCTTCCTTTCATCATCATCATCATCATCATCATCATCATCATCAGCCTTATTATTGTCCCCACTGCTGGGGCACAGGCCTTCCCTATGGATGGAATAGGAGGACTATTCCTTCCTTTATAATAATATTTTAAAATAATCAAATAAATATGTCACGGCTCGTTCTGTCAAAGCGACACCATCTATCAATTGACAGTTTTATTATTATGGCCGCCCGAGAGCTATACAAACTACTTAAGAAATAACAAATTAAAGAACTGACTGTAAAGAGCTTCTTTATATGAATCTACAATCTTGAAGTAAAACAATTTTATAGCACAGTGTGACCTAAACCCGCACTTTACGCACGCTTTTCCGTGATCTAAGTTGCCTATTTCTGCACGGTGTGTAAATGAATTGACCAACTTCACTCATGTAGAATTAGTACATTACGATACGCGTAACTTAACTTTACTATGCCAATCAAGGAATAAACGTTCATGGATACATTGAAATTCTATTTTGTTGTAATGATATTTGATTTTTTCCTTTTGAAATATACTTTCAAAATGGTAATCTGAACCGGAATTCTTTCTTTTCAGAGTTTGACTTGCAGTCTGTATTGCAATTCTTTGTGATTGCAATACATGAATTTTACTTTCAAAACACTAATCGCATACCCCCCCCCCCCCCCCCCCCCCCTCGTGCCCGCGTCCGGGGCGGGTTTATGTCACACTTGCTATAAAATAGTATACGATACTTGTGGCCTAAGTTGTCTATTACTGCACGCCGTTTAGCACCCTCGCTCCGCTCGGGCCGTGCAGTAATAGGCAACTTAGGTCACGCGTATCGTAATGTACTATTATTTATTTTTTATTTAAATAATTACATTTTGCCAGTTGTCTGAGGAACAGTCGCAGAAGAGGCGGGATGCCACTCTCCATCCCATGGATATAGACGCTTACTGGCTACAAAGAAGACTATCCAGACACTTCCCAGACGCTATGGTGTCTCAGGTACGAAATGATTTTATTTATTAATGTGAAATATCTTTTGGCTCCGACTCCAAATATTAATTTGACTACAGATAAAAATAGGGCATTTGACAGTATTAAAAATAAAGTGCCAATTGTTAGCATCTGTATTTATAGGCAATATTGGCAGGAGTTTATACTATTTTTACAGAAAAAATATTCATAATTTTACCTAAAACCCACGATAAAGATAATAGTTTTCTTGTCTATTGTCACGTGACCTAAAACGCTTGGGTTTGGTGGAGACTAAAATGACGTCACAGGCAAGTAAACTTCCGGTTAAAGTGACATTACATTGTATAGTTTGACGTTTTAATGACAGTCGTGTGACGTCACACACCACTGAGACGCCATATTGTCCAGAGATACGTTTTTCGCGGCAACTTGAAAACAAGAGTTTTTCATTTGGGTTTTTTACCGAAATACACAACATAATGATGAATTATATCTTTTTACGGACTCCATAAACATTAGTAAATAACGTGAGATCGTTTTCTAAAACTTGTCACTATACCCTGATTATTTTTTACTTTTTAGCGGTTTGATTTTTTTATATAAAGTTTTTAAGAATGTGTATACGTGAAGGAACAACTTTCGTTTATTTTGAACTTCTAAGCGAACTTGCATATACTTGCCTTATCTATTTTGATCTTTATGATTAATATCTACTTATTTGTCTTCGCAGGGTAAATCGAGCGAAGTTCTTCGCGCCTTAGCCGAAGCGGCGGACGAGCGAGACCTGGAGAACAGACTTGTGTTGCTTCTGGGTTACGACTGCTTCAGCTTCGTGAAGTTGCTGAATAAATACAGATATATGAGTGAGTATGATTTTAAATAGAGCAACTCGAAACTTTGTTTTGTTGAATGAATTTTCCATCTTCGTTCTTAGCTTTTTTCATAGCCCTATCCCGTAAATACCATTAATTACTATGTTAGTGACCATAAAATTTTTAAAACAAATAGGCTATTTAACAGTATGAAAAATAAAGTGTCAATTGTTGGCATCTGTATTTAATATGAATATTAGCAACGATTTCACTATTCTGGGCAAACAAATAATTAATAAATTAAAAAGAAACATTAAATAGAAATAATGTTATTGTTCTATGGTCACGTGACCGAAAACGCTTGGGATTGGAAGAGACTTAAATGGCGTCACACACTAGTAAACTTCCGGTCAAAGCGATATAACATTGTATCGTTTGACGTTCTAATGACAGTCGTGTGACGTCACATGCCAGTGAGACGCCATAACGTACAGAGAAACGTTTTCGCGGCAAATTGAAAATGGATATTTCAATTTTAGATCTGAAATACGGAATAGAATGATTAATATCCATTTTATGTACTTCATCTCTTATCTATTAGACAAGTCCGTCCGTCTGTCTGTGGTGCTGTTTCAGCCGCCAAACCGTAAGAGATAAATAAAGAGAATATTTAAGTTATAAGTTAAGAATAGTCTGATAAGACTACAAACCGGATTTGTGTAACGTAGCACTTCCGGTTTTCGAGAAATCAGGTTTTGGTGAACATTTGGTTCACTGGTTTGCTAGTTAACATTAATAAATAACGTGCGTTTTTTAAATCTTTTCGTAAATTACCCTAATTGTAAACAGCTTCCGAATAATCATTCATTATTATTAAAGCTTAAGTTAGTACCACAATTGCATACCCAATAATTATAAGGAAAATTGACTTATTTATATATATTTTTTATTGTCGACCTCCGTGGCCGAGTGGTTTGAACACCGGGTTCCATGATGTCGCAGACTCGAGAGGTTCCGGGTTCGAATCCCGGTGGGAGCAGATGATTGTGTGATGAATACGAGCATTTGTACTCCACTCATGGATGTTTCATATGTATTTCTATATAAATATATTTATATATGTACAGTATATTATGTATTATATCCGTTACCCTATTATCCCATAACACAAGCCTACAGTGCTTACTTTGGGGCTAGGCTAATTGGTGTGAGTGTTGGATATACTTATTATTATTATAACTGAAATATAGAATAGAATGATTAATATCTACTTTTTATGGACTCCATAAACATGAGCAAATAACGAGCGATCGTTTTTTTAACCTTCTCAAATACCTTAATGAGGGCTACCGTTTTCTGCCTCACCAGATGGCGCCACTGTTGAGTGAGGTCCTAAATTGTAACTTTTAAAGTTTATTAATACGCACATGAAATCAAAGGTTACATTCAGATCGTATTTTAACACAAAAGAACCATATCCTAAACATAATAGGCCATGCCACAGTGACGCGCAGTTCCGTTTTATTCGGAAAAAATGAGAACATAATCATTTTTCTAAGCTCAAATTTTTAATAACTGACATTCATTGCCACATAGCTCATATTTGCCATAATTAAGCCGAATTGTTACCAATTGTTCACAACTTTATTTTAATTAGAAATAAACCCGCGTAGTCAACCAACAAGCAATAACATTTGACATTTCGGAGACCTCACGCTACACTAGCGCCTCTAGCGGCGGATTCATACGCGATAGCCCTCATTCAAGGCACAACAAAGTTATTGATGTGTTCAACTCCCATTTCTCAGTTTTCAAAAGAAGCGTCTCTAGTTTGTTCGGTCACCTTAAGTTATTACCTCGTTTTATTAACTGTGTTAAAAGATTTAGCCTAGTTGTAAAGTTTTATTTTGTTCATGGATGGCAGTTTAGATTTTTACCAGATTTATGTTTTTTAACCATGTAATAACTGCACTTTGTTTGTGTACCAATAGAAATTAATAAAATAAATACTCAACAATTATAAGTAGAACTAGCAAACCAGTGAACCAAATGTTCACCAAAACCTGATTTCTCGAAAACCGGAAGTGCTACGTTACTCAAATCCGGTTTGTAGTCTTATCTGACTATTCTTAACTTATAACTTAAATATTCTCTTTATCTATCTCTTACGGTTTGGCCGCTGAAACAGCACCACAGACGGACGGACTTGTTTAATAGCTAAGAGATTGACTTATTTATATATATATTTTTTTTGTTTTGTCCTCTAGTTTTGTACTGTACCAAGTTGGCCAGTTCTCAATCAGAAAGTGAAAGAGCTTCCATCAGGGAGGAGATGTCCAAACAGCCCCATCTGCAGAAGATCCTGGCTCAAATAGAGACGGGGAAGGGAGACGACGAGGTAAGTGTGTCTCTTTCTGATAGAGGAGAGATTGGTTCCATTGTGGGGTTCTCCCACAATCTTATTTATACATGTTATATTATATAAGTATTTTGAAATATATAAAATATTATATAATATGTATTTACATTTTATTACTATAAATAAATATAAAACATTAATTAAATACGAAATATATTTACATTTAATATATAACAATATTTACTAATTACATTCATATACTGTCATGACAAGCACAAACATTTATACCTACACAAAACAATTACACTATATCGTGCCGTGCATCAGCCGATCTATAACAGTCGTGTGGCGAATGGACACGCGCACTCACTTCGCCGCCTATAGGTCACGTTGCACGACAGTCGGAACCTATACTCTGTATAGCGATCTGTATCGCGAATATACGCATATTTTTGAATATTCGCTTTCACATTCGCATTCGCAAAATCTCTGCGAATGTTTTGCGAATATGAATATTAGAAAAAAACAATTTGAAGAAGTTGTAGTTCTGCCTTTCCTTGAATATTCATTGTTACACAGTTTGCATTTAGCTCGTTCAGCATCGCAAAGTGTGAAATAAGTCCATGTTTCACTAGAATTCGATTTACTCATGTTAATAAATCACTATTACCACTCACAATCACTAACCTCAAAATTCACTTGTTTTGTTTACGGAAAGACCGGTGCGAGCGGAATGACACTTCCGAGACTTCCGAACGAGACTGCCACCATGCCATAGACAATTGGAGCCAATTTAAAAAAAAAACTAAATATTCGCATTCGCGAATTAGCAATTTCCACCGGATTAGCAAGTTGAAGTGGCAGTGGGCTGGCCATATTTGTCGAAGAACCGATAACCGTTGGGGTAGACGAGTTCTGGAGTGGAGACCGCGTCTAGGCAAACGTAGTGTGGGACGTCCTCAGGCACGATGGAGTGACGATTTGCGCAAGGTGGCTGGCAGGAGCTGGATGCGAGTAGTCCAAGATCGATCTGAGTGGCGTGCACTTGGAGAGGCCTATGTCCAGCAGTGGACTAGGATAGGCTGTTGATGATGATGATGATTCGCGAATGTCGGTACCAGACATTCGCATCCGCATTCGTTACATCACTACTCTGTACCGTACGCACGATCAATTGCTCCGCACTTGCTAGCCCCTAACCGTGTTATTATTGTTTTGTTTACGTTTGCTTGGACTGTGCTTTTCCTTTCTTCCTCTGTGCTTGTGTATCACTGACTGTGCTCTGTACTCCTTCTATTCTGTGCTTGTGCAAATAAACTGTTGCAAAGTGCTGGACTTATTGTTTACACCGCCTCCCGACTGCACCGCAGATAAGTACAAGCGAATTATTGCCTATCTACACACAACAACGCTTTACCATGTCAACGATCTATACAAGGTGTTTTGGTTTTTATTAATGTCAGCAAAAGGTAGAACAATAATTACAAATTAAATATTTCATTGAGGAGCTCGATGGCGCAAGTAGTTGATGCGTTCGGCTGAGATCGTTGAACTTAAGCAACTTTCGCAGTGGTCGGTCATTGGATGGGTGACCCAAAAAATTTACTATCTCGAGCTCCTCCGTGCTTCGGAAGGCACGTTAAGCCGTTGGTCCCGGCTGCATCTGCAGTCGTTAGCACCCGCCAATCCGCACCTGCGTGGTGGGTCATGGCCCAATCTCCCTATTTCCATCCACCGGGAAGGTCTGTGCCCCAGCAGTGGGGACATTAATAGGCTGATGATGATGATGATGATGAAATATTTCATTGAGTTCGCCTGTGCGGGGCACGGTCCCCAGAAGACTGGCAGCGTTGCCTCGCTGTAACGACAAACTAATTCGTTGAGCAAAACAGCTACCAGATCCGTAGCTACCGTAGCCTCGCACAGGCGAACAGTCATATCCTTAAGAAATACTTTTCAGCAGGGCCCCAAGGACCCATTGTCTCTACAGCAAAAGGCAGGAAAAATATGTCTCACCCAAATCCCGGTACTTGCGCCTTTTATTACGATCTATACATATATGTATCAACTTGTGAACTGTATTTTGGCAAATAAATTAAATTATTATTATTATTATAATAAAATGGTGGGAAAGTCAAAACTGTACATTGAATATTTTTTTAAAAGAATATTTGGGGTGTGATCTACAATCGATACCGAAGCCAAAAATATAGTTTTTTAGAATTTTTGTCTGTTTGTCTGTATGTATGTCAGGGATAAACTTAAAAAGTACTGCGTGGATTTACTTCAAATTTGGCACGAATATTATTAAGAAGTCGGGTACAAGACAACATATAGGCTACATATTATCACATTTTTTATAGTACAAATGAATTTTTATTATGAATTAATAATTGTGATTTTGTTGACTTAATGAAGATATGGCTATTGACTTAAAAAAATTGACATGTATTGTATGATTATTATGTGTAATATAATGTATTGTCTTGTCTCGACACAATGGAGCCAAATAAAACTATTCTTTAGATGAATAATAACTTTTGTAATGCTATTTTGTAAGTAAGAAAATTATATATAAATTAAAGCAGCCTTGACAACGGCTAACAGAAAAGAAAAAAGACATTGACAAATTAAAAAAGAATAAAACATGCGTAGGTCATTGGACCTCCTTTGTACATAATAATAATCTTCATCCATGAAGGCGACGAGCCGTAACATCGTCCCGCCGCGTTGAAAGTATTCTTTCAACAATTAACTTGCTCTTCAGTCAGTAGCGGGCACAGCCGAACCAATGGTCGCCGCACGGAGCCCCTTATCGTGTTGAGCTCAGCTACTCGCGCGATTCCGTCGTATCCAAGGAATAGTCTGGTAACCCGTCCAAGACGCCAGCATAAAGGCGGCACGTTATCCTCTTGCAGGAGCACCATATCACCAATCGTTAGACTGCCCTTGTTAGTTCTCCATTTTGTTCGATGTTGGAGTTCGCTGATGTACTCCTTTTGCCATCGGTTCCAGAAGTGCTGATGAAGTTTTTCCAGCCTAGCATAGCGTCGAAGACTACTTTCCTTGACTTCCTTCAGGTTTGGCGAAGGCAGAGCTGTCAAGGGTCTTCCAATGAGAAAGTGCCCAGGGGACAAGAAAAGGAGGTCATTGGGAGAGGAAGAGAGAGGGCATAAGGGACGACTATTGAGTATAGCCTCCACTTGTGCAAACAAAGTGACTAATTCTTCTAGTGTTAAATGACTATTGCCCATCACTCTTTTGATATGGTACTTTGCCGACTTGACGCCAGCTTCCCAAATTCCTCCAAAATGTGGAGCATAAGTAGGAGTGAAAATAAAATTTATTCCTTCTTGAACTGCAAAGTTAGATAAATCCTTTGCAGAATTCGACAAAAACCTACCAATTTCTTTAGCTGCGGCAACAAAATTCCTTCCATTGTCACAGTAGACATCAGATGGCTTTCCTCTGCGGGCTATAAATCTGCGAATCGTCATTACGAATGCATCCTTGGTAAGATCAGTGACAACCTCTAAGTGAAGACATTTATACCGCAGACAAACGAAAAGGCACATATAACATTTTATTAAACGACTGCTCCTACCTTTTTTATTTAATATCATAAATGGTCCTGCAAAGTCCAGCCCTACAGACAGAAAGGGGTAGCTAGGCGTTATTCTCTCCGTGGGGAGATTACCCATTTTTGGGCACAATGTTTTGGCATTTAAACGCTTACATCGCACACAGTTAAACACTACACTCCTCGCTAGATGCCTTCCATTTACCGGCCAAATAACTTCTCTCACCGCAGCAAGTAGCAACTGCGGTCCAGCGTGTAAGAGCTTAACATGTTCCCTTTCAAAGAACAATCTTGTAAGACGATGCGAAGCGTGCAATAGTATAGGATGTTTCTTTTCGTAAGCATAACATGAGGCGCTAATTCTACCACCTACTCTAATTAAATTATTTTTATCAAAAAACGGAGACAATGGAAGTATTTTTGATTTAGTATTTATTTGCTTGTTTTCATTGAGAACTTCATATTCTATAGCAAAAGATTGACGTTGAGCAGCCGCACATAAAAAGTAAAAGGATTTATTTAGTTCTTCAATTGAAATATGACCAAATAATTTATTATTAGGATATCTTAAATTGTGAACAAATCTTTTAACATATGCAAAAGTACGCTGTAACTTCGTAAAAGTAGAAAAATTTTCATATTTAATGAATGACTCGGCTACGGTTACTGTATGACATTTCACTTCCGGTAATTCTATTTCTAAGTTTTTGCCTAGACATAGTGTAGGCCACTCTGCTTCATCTTTTGAAATGAAGTCAGGTCCTAACCACCATAGATCTATGTTTATCAACTTGGTTGCGTCTACCCCCCGGGAAATCAAATCTGCCGGGTTGAGTGCGGTGGGAACGTAACGCCATGCCGCTACTTCAGTAGTTTCAATGATTTCAAGAACTCTATTGGCAGCAAAAGCCTTTAGTTTGCTTGGATCGTTACGAATCCAGGCCAATACTATTGTTGAATCGCACCAATGAACCAGGCGCACCGGTTGAGCTCGGAGAGATACGCACACTGCCTTGCATAATCTAGCCGCAAGGAGCGCAGCACACAACTCTAATCGTGGCATAGTGGTTGTCTTTAGCGGTGCGACCTTAGATTTACTGCATAACAACTTAACAGTGACTTCATTTTGAGCGTTTACTGACTTTAAGTAAATGCAAGCTCCGTATGCATGCTGTGAAGCGTCACTGAAACTATGCAGTTCAAAATACACATGATTAGCACTTAATACAAATCGTGGTATCTCCAATTTTTGTAATTCAGGTACGTGTTTAGTAAACAAACCCCACTCATTTGCAATATTTAAAGGAACGGGCTCATCCCAGTCCAATTTTTGTAGCCATAATTTTTGTATTAATATTTTTGGTATTACGATAAATGGGGATAACAAACCGAGTGGGTCGAATATTTTGAAAGCCTGAGACATAATTGACCTCTTGGTAACATTATTGTTTTGAGAAAT